TTTTGGGGGGCTTTGCTGGCGAGGGTGCTTCTTTTTGTTTTGTAATGGTAAAAAGAATAATACTGAGGCAAGGATTCGATATTGAGGGTATGTGGGAAAAATGGGACTTGTATTGGTCGGCTTCTGTTGGTTGCTTAGGTTGGTTGGATTGGGCGGGCGGGCTGGGGGGGGGGGGGGTGTTCCCTCTTCCGAAGGAACATGTCATGGATCAAATGCAAACCGAAGAACATTCAAGTCACAAACGCTGTAAAACACCAGTTGGATGAAAGTAGACTTCACAAATCCTGCGGGGGTGTTAGCGGGATGATGCAAACTAAAACCCTCATAGCGTCCATGCGATCCGAAAACAAATCTACAATGTCGACATCCCGTGCCCCCTGAAGTGGCGTGGAGTGAGTTCCATGGATGTTAGATGCTCTTGGTTTCAAATGCTGGTGGAAACCCCTGGCCCGATGGAACATCCAGACAAAAACAGCCTCTGCTTGCCTGCAGGTGGATCTGCTGGAAACACCTTCCAACACCCAACATAACAAACCTCTGCAACTCCAACAAGTGACCGAAATCCGTTACACGGGCCGTCGACATTGGCCACTCTGCATCCACCACAATTGTTGCAATGACTTCAAGTGGGCGTCCGGAAACGGTGTTGAAGGCCCCCCCCCCCCCACCAATTTGTTCGACCCATTTCGTCCAACCGTGTTCTGTGCCAAAACCCCGCGTGCGCTTTGCGCTTTGCACACACACACACACATGCAGCGTCACCACATGTGACCCGTTGGCCGGCGCTCTTCACTTCGCCCAGGTGCAGTGAAGGCATAGCCTTGCCGAGTTGGTCAACGAAAGCATTGCCGGAAAAGTAGATGGATCTGTCCTACCAAAATTAGTAAAATTACACTATTGTACACCCTCCAACATGTGGTCCCGTCGCTTCCAAGAAAACAGGACACAAGGCCCGTGAAGAAAACACTACTGGCCAGAAGGAGCTTTCAACACCTGCCATCGCATGCCAGCGGCCCGTCTTCTGGCGGTAAGCAATCATCGCCGCAGACAGGGCAGCAGCCAGTGGAATATCGGAGGCCCGCAGCAGTGAGAGCATCATACCCTGCCTAGCGCAACGCGCGACGCGGTGGCTGACTCTAAAAGGCTGCGTTCGGCCAAGGTCCATTCAACTCGCCAAGGATGTATTGAAGAATAGTCCGAATCCGAAGCTTCTGCGGGGCGGCCTACCTTCTTTCTTTTTTCGGGAATATTCCCACCCCAAGACAAGGATCGGCTGCAGTCTCCTCATCAAGCCAGAAGGCTGCCGAGTCCCTGCACGAAAAAGATGTGCAAACCTTCAAATATGTCGGTTCACTTTGGGCCGTGTTCGGCCCATGATGGCCCATGGTAGCTGACATGCCTGGGGAAAGCCCAGAGTTGAAGGATTTTCAAGTGATCCTCCCCTACAAATGAACATGCAACAAAAAATGGGGGTCACAAACACAAACTAACAAACTCTCCAGAACGGATGTGTTTTGGGTTCCATGTTTAATATGCAGTCCCAAAACAATGAAACCTCCAAACATGTCGTTTAAGTTTGGTTCCATATTGATATGCAGTGCCCAAAAATCAAATCCTCAAAATATAGGCGTGTGTTTTTGAGGGAGGGAGGGAGGAAGGGAGGGAGGGAGGGACGGAGGGAAGGGAGGGAGGGAGGGAGGGAGGGGAGGGAGGGAGGGGAGAGGGAGGGAGGGAGGGAGGGAGGGAGGGACGGACGGAGGGGGGGGGAGATGCGAATATTGTGGGGAACAACTGATCCCACCCACAATTTCCGACGTTCAAATCATTTCGCCTCGCCTGGTGGCAGTGTTCCCGCAGGATCCGGTGGCGAAGAAGTCCTGGGGTGGTCAAAGAGACCTCAAAGAAGCTTCAACTTTTGGGGGGTTGGTGGGAAAATACCTGGAGTCTCCATGACCCTTTAAAAACGGGTCCGTGACCCCATTATTTTGGGTAATTATCCCAATTTGTTTCGGGTCATGGAGACTCCAGGTAGTCCAACAAGTTCAAGGGTCAAACTCGGCTGGTCTATGCCGAGTGGAGAACCAGTCAGTGTGCAAAAGGTTCGGAGACTCTTTTGTTGGCCCCCTCGCTCAAGACAAACCTTGGCTTGTTGGTAAGGTCCGCTTGTGGATGTTTCGGAATATGTTCAAACAAGTTCACTGGTCAAAATGGGTTTGTCTTGGACCCCCCCAAAAGGTTGCTGAACTTTTGGGAGGTTAGTAGTTCTTAGGGAACCCGTGACGTTCAAGAAGGTTAAGAGTCTACGTTTGGCATCCTCGCGTGGTGCGAGACCAAGAGATTCCAAGGGTCAAAGGTCCAACCGTCGCGGTTTGTTCCCTTGCCAAAAGTTTAACTCTGAATAGCATATGTCAAAAGGGAGATTCTCAAAATGGAATGTACCTCATTTTGGTAGTTGTTGATTTAACATGGGAAACCACAAGGATTATGCGAACCTGTTGCGAAACATGTGTATATACCTGGACGCCCAAACGAGCACAAATTTCCGCTCGAGGGAAAAAGTGCCCGCTTTTCGTTGCTTGGTTACCAAGTTGAGAGAACAGGCGGCGACGGCGACAGCGACCGACGCGGAGGCTCCAAGGCCGCAGAGGTCGCGTCCAGGAGCCCCAGGAAGGCGCTGGCCGCTGCCGCGCGGCCCGTGACCGCGGCGGAGGGGAACCAGCCCTCGGGCGGCCGGGCGGATTTGGGGATTCTCGTTTGGAATGTCCGGTCCAAACTGGAACTTGGCAATGGATGATCATGCTTTTTTGCTTGGGGGACTGCTCAGCTCAGATTTGCGCGGGTGGCAGGTGCCTATTGTGTTGCAGCCATTATGTTCACTCACGAACCTACTCTACACATGGTAATGCATGGTCTACCCCAAGTAGTCGGAAGGGGGGAAGTGCAGATTGACATGGAGCGCAAAACCACAATCTTTTTTCCAGGAATCTCCTGGGCGACATTGGGCGATTTCTTTTTGGGCTTAATCTGTAGGAGCAAATCACAGCCGAAGCCGAAGCCGAAGCCCGTTACCCCACCCATTCCTTGCCAAAGCTCCCCCTCCACATGGCGAAACCACAAGGCGCACATCATTAGGACCGGCCAGGCCATCCACGGGTAGGTCACCGGAGGCAAAGGTCCCACGCCAGAGATCACTCCAAAGGAGATGCTCGCCTCAACGGGTGAAAAACAAACAAGCTATGGGTGTGGGGTTTGGTCGATTTAAAAGGACGGCCTAGCTGAACCCCGGACCCATCTTGGAGTCCGCTCATTTTGAAGCAAACCCAAATGAGCCACGGTCATAATATGTGCATGATACGCAATGGGCAGTGGAACAAAAGTCCGCGGCTTGGCAAATCCAGTATCTTCGTACCCCACGAATCTCCGAATTGGCCGCCTGACCGGGTGTGTGAAGGGGAACACGTGGAACCGCCCGTTTTGCGGGAATTTTGGGACAGATCTCCTGCAGCGCTCGCAGCCCCACGGTGCAGGGGAACAGCACGCAGGCCACCAGAGCCGTGGCCGGCGCCGGCCACGGCGCCGCCTGCCGCTGAGCGAAGTATTTGGTCCTACCGTGCAACGCCCGGCTTTACGGGGGTCCGAACGGGGAACGGGGAAAACAGGTTTGGGCAGAAAATGATACTGTTGTTGGCCATAAGACAAATGACATCAAATGACAAATGTTTGCTTGTTTGCCAAAAGCAGAGAAAGCTTTAAGCGCATCACCTTTCTGAGCCTGCAAACCACCCCCAACGAACCCGGGCGCCTTTGCTAATTGCTAGTTTGTGGGTCCTGGTCTGACAGTCCCAATAAGTTGCCCAGAGGGGACATAGGAAGATCGGAGAAACTGATGCGAAAAGCAGTTCTGCCATCCGAACCAATGCAGCATCAGGGCATCCTGTTCGTACAATGCCTGGTTGGATACACGGAAAGCCTGGATGCATTCCGTACAGTGCCGCGGCTATCAGATGCCCGATGCTTTTCCTCCAAATGTTGCCCAGGCACTTCTCTGCACAACTTTGACATCTGTTTGTCGTCGTGCGTGTGCTGACATTGCCAGCTCATGGGCAAGCATCTGGCGGAACATGAAATCATAACGCCTGCTTTGTCTTTGAGGATTGCCATTGAACCAAGAACACCAAGCTGGAGCCAGGACACCACCTGGCGCTCCACTCGCTATTTACTTCGCTATGTTTCCTTGGATTGCGTCCACTAACCCCCCCCCCTCCCCGACAACACAATTGCTTGGAGTTGGAAGCGGTGCAAAGTTCACGTGACGAATCGCTTTGGGCATAGATCGGGCCGCTGCTTCTAACTCTGACAAATAAAACAAACAACCTAGCTCAGAGACTGAAGTGGGCTTTGTCTGGATACCAAATTTTCTTCTTCCCCCACCCCACCACTCCAGAAAGCTCCTGCGGCTGCTCTTCGCCATTGCAAAGAAGGCGCCCAAGGATTTTACCACTTGAGCCCTCGATGGAACACGCGGTCGGCAAACTGGTGAGACAAACAAAAAGCACCCGACGTCATTGCGGAGGGCGGCTCGTTTCAACGGCACGCACCCAATTCCGAGTCATTTGCTTGCCTGGAGTCTGCCGTGCAAGGGCTGAAGCCTAGGCTTCCCCTGGCGTGGAATTCCTCGAGTGGAGGGTGGCATGAACGGACATTCAGCTTTGTGTGAAAGAAGCCTGGCGCTAAACCAATCCTTTCAAGAAGGCCTGGAAGTAGGGCGAGTAGTTTTTGGTACTTTTGACAAAAAAGACATGAACAGCTGCAAATACCAAGATTGTCCAAAAGGGAATCTTGTAAGACCTCAACCATAAACGTCTAGGTCCTCCAGTAGACAGGTTAGAACAAGGGTACCCTCTTTTCTGTAGTCTATTTTAGTAGGGAACCCTCCCTAGACATGATTTGCCCAAATATGCCCTGTGCCTGGCAATGCAAGTGGTTTCTCGTGCCCACGCCTCGACCTGTTGCTCCTCGAGGGCATCCCAGAGCTCGTCATCCGAGGCCATGCCCTGCGCATGTAGAAGGCAACCCCTCGTTTAAAGACCCGGTTTGGGGAAATAACGCCTGTGCAGGACCCTGGCGTTTTCAGCCATGCTTTTGACATGCTACATGTTTGTCACACTGTTTTTCCAGCAACATGGTTTAAGCACCTTGAGCAACCTCCTTTTTGTGCCCCTTGACCAGGGACGGGGTGTTGTTTGAACAAAGCTTGCTCAAGTTTGGGAAGTCGCCACAGATGTGTGGGGAGGGTGGACCAGGTTGCAGAAACAACTGGAAAGAGCGAAATCAACCGAAGCCAGCCAAACCCAAAGTAGCAACATCTCGGCAGCCCGGCTACAGGGTGCTTCCATGAGAAACAACAGGTGCAGCGCAAATGGCGAGCGCTAAGCGAGGAAGGGGCTGATGGTGGCATCTCGGAGCCCCAATGGCAAAGACGAAACACGTGCTTGGAGGTCCTTGTGCTCAAGGTAAACCAAACATTTTCAGGAAACCAAAGAACGTGCGGGGCGGCAAAAGTTGTTTTGAAATCGCATTCTCTGCCGACGCCAGTGGTAGTAGGGGTCCTTACCTTGTAGGACGTCTGGAAGCCCCACTTGAGCCACACTCACAATATGCAATTCCTTCCATGCCCATTTACAAATTAGCGAGTCCCTTGTTATTCTGCTACGTGAAAACTTTATAGGGAAGCCCCAAAAATCCCTGGAAACTGTGACAGAACCACGCAACTGGACTGAACAGGGCTGTGGGCAATGACCACTTCTGCACAGAAAGGGCTTCCCAAAGACGAACCGCCCATATAACAGAGATATTCCCAAAAGTATCACGGAAGTGGTCGGATAAATCCCGCGTGATCCCACTGGCGGACTGAATGCTTCGACCGAACCTCACTCCAAATGCTTCCCCCCTGCGCCTCTCTCGCCAAATCCGAGGCGCACCGCCCCGTCGAGCGGAAAGGGATATATAAATCCGTTCGGGGCTGGATGGGTGACTTGCGGGTCCAAACAGGTGCTCATGTTTGTCTAGGGCGCAATGTTACTCTGACTATACGAAATCAAATTCTTATAACTTGTGCGCGCAAAGGGGAACGCTGACAAGCCCTCCCTCTCTGTCTCTCTCTCGCTCTCTCTCTCTCTCTCTCTCTCTTTGTCTGTACGTTTGCCGTTGCGTGCCATGTGCGTAGCCACTGCGCCTCTTCTGACTGGTCCTTCACGCGACCCCCATACGTGCTGTGGCTTGCTACTGGGTTGTCTTGCTGAGCAAGAGCGAGCGGTGCCCAGCGGCTGGCGACATGTTTGATTGCCTTTTTTTCAGGGAACAACTTAGCATGGTGCTCCCCATCTATCAAACAATCCCTTTGACCCTGCACGACAGTACTTGGCACTCCTTCTGTCCAAGTCTTGCGTGTCTGAACATCCCGACAAATCTGAGGCCTGGTGTGGTTTGTGTCACCTGGGATGAAGCTGCGTTGGCGAGATAATTAAGCACATCTCCGGGTTCAACTGACATTGTTGGGCACACCAGGGAGCGGAGACAGCGGAAAACCAAACCAAGGAGGGCAAACTCCTGTTCCGAGTGTGCCCAAATCCCATCCCGCATCCCGAAGGCTCGACGCTCATGTCTTTCTTCGCCAGGGTGCTCGAGCTGAGGGAACCCCGCGAAAACCCCGCTCTCGGGGCCTGGCTTGGGCTTTTAACTCCACCGCCCGCCATGTCGAAACTTTGGACCGCACAAAACGGAGGTCAAATTGACAAGTTTCCCAACATCCCAAGCTTGGGGAGTGAGCTGGCCAGACAAAAATACGCCGACCAAAGCGCTCAGCCCCTCAGCCCACTTTCGCCAAGTGTTGCAGCACGCCCACGGCTCGCTCAGCCTGGCAGAGGCAAGCGGCAAGTGGGAAGGAAAGGCAATATGGAGAAACCACCTACCCTTGGAGGACGAAAACAAACAGAACGCAAACCTCACAACAAAGCTTAAATGTCTGCGCTGCTGCTTGGAATTCACAGCACCGGCAAACAACCTTTCGAATAAGTGTGAAAACGACAACATGACGCAGGTGAGGCTCTCAGCTGAGAGAGCGGATGGAGTCTGAAACAGTAAAATGGGGAGCACACTTGCTGGTTCAAATCTCCAAAGGAAGGGCTACATCGGTCCCATCTGAAACAACTGAAATCTCAAAGGAACGCATGCTTGACTACAACCAGCAGACCAAACTATATATATATATATATGGCTGTTCTCTTTCTGAGAAACATGTGTAAGCTGCAGCTTCAAAACAAGCAGAACACATCTCAACGTTTTCTGGCGCTGGCTGAGGCTGTCACACTTTGCCACCGGTAGCACAGTGATCTGGTGAAATTTTAAATGCAACTCACATGGCTCTGGGGCAAAAGCAATGGTACCATTTTGGGGTAGGCGCACCACCCATTTGAGTCTATTTTAGTGGAGATTGGGATGTTCACTGGGGGTACGGGGTTTTGACCCATGGCCACATCTCCATGTCTACATCTCCATGGCTAGAGCTGGCTTGAGGTTCCAACATGACCCTGCAGCCACGCCTCTTGAGCGGGCACATACACATGATCGTGGTGGAAGGCCGCCACGACGTTGGCGCCTACGCTACGCCGGCAAACGGCAGTGAAAGGGACACCCCCGTGGGAGAAAAAAAAAGAAACCAAAAGAAAGACGTGCTGAACCATGCGACCACGAATCTGCTGTTTGATGCCCAGACTCAACTGGCGTTGCTCTGCTGGTTGGCCAAAGCCGCAAGTCCAGAGTGATAGCACATGATTTCGGCGTGATACCAGCGCCTCTGAAAGAAAGCGCGTGCGCCAGCCCTAATCGTTGTCACCAAACACAACCACTGCAAACGCCGCAGATTGATCGTGGCTTTGCAGCTGACGTCGTACATCCCTGCCATTTTCCGCCCAGAATGCATCATTCCCTTTTGTATAATTACAGTGGAACGAACACAAGGCCGTCCATCAATCAACTTGGAGATGTATGATGCTTCACCAACCTAAAACAAATGACCTCCCAAGAAGGAACCTTCAGCATGCGTGAGGTCGCAACTGTCAATCGCGAAGTCGCTATTTGCCCTGAAACATGCTCCCCTGCTTAATGACTCCCTGTATCCTAGCATCTTCTCAACAAGGGCAGTCACCCTGAAGGAAAGAACCGAAAAGATAAAAGCAAAACAAAACCACCCCCTGATTGAAAGCTTCGGGACAATCTTCACGGGTCGGCATGGTAAAAGCACGTGTAAAACAGCGGCTGAACCGCCGAGCCCTCCCCAGTTTCTACCCATCCTTTGACATGTGCCATGGTCAAACTCCCCATGCCAGTCATGGTTCCCTTAGTTGGAACCCTTATAATAACTGTTGCCCAAGATCAAGTCAGTGATGTTGACCAATGACCAAGCCCAAGATGTGGTTTGGTCGAAGCATGGGCCGCATAGACCTCATGGGGCGCCCGGCAAATCCCTTGGTCGCGGAGCGCTGCTGCCACCGCGGCAGTGAGGCCGACAGCCTCACGGCTCAGGCCTCTCGGGCCCTCTTTGGGTGACCCCAAATTGATTGAAACCTATTTATTTATAGATATATACATATTTATACATTTGCATATATATATATATCTCTTTAGGTTGGCCAGAGCACTTTTCCAAAAGTGGCCTAGGATGGACCTCTGGCTTTGTCCATGGTCAGTTTGGGGTTCGGGACTGCCTAGTTGCTCAGTGACATCCGGTGTCCTGCGACCAAACGGCTGTCCGTGGTTTCAAGCAGGGCTGTTTGCACAACTGCTCAGGGAGGCACCCGCTCTTGAAAGCCTCGAACCTTGAATACTGAAACTGACAAAGGGGAAATCTTTCCCACAAATCCAGGAGCGCAAAGCCGAATATTATCATCTCCATTACGGGCAACGTATTTTGGATGCTGAACCCCCCCCCCAAAAAAAAAAACAGCCAACAAGTACCCCCTGGCGATCCCAAAGTTTGGTTCAAGAAGTGCTCAGGCTTCAAATAGATACACCCGGCTTTTTGCGGTCTGATACCAACATGGTACCAGTCAACCATTGGAGCTGGATCCAGAAGTTTTGACACGACATGCCCTCACTGACTTAGAAGCTGACAGAAAAAGGACCAGGGATTACCAAACATATTCCCTGGCGTGGTTGGAGCCTGCCTGTTCCTTTGTCACGCTGAAAGGGGTTCACTTGGTCCTTGCAACCCTTGCTGACAGGACGTGAGATTGCACAGGGTTCCTCATGTCATAAGTCTTCTTGAAACATTGACCGACAATAATCCTCTTTTCCACCACCAAGGAGGAAATCACAAATCACCCCACCACAAGTGAACATTCATGTGTGACGCCAGACAGAGTGTAGGGCGGCTGGCGCACCTATTTCTGCCGGACACTGTTCCTTACTGTCCCTCAAGGCACCCCACCACACCCAAAGAGCCTGGGTCAAAATCAATATCTTGGAAGCTGACACAAGGCTAAAAACACGAGATTCCTTTTGGGGAAGCTCCAAAGAGTCGACGTCCATGTTGGAACGCGGGCACCCTCTGGCCTCATCATCGCCATAATCAATACCTCTTCACATCGACTTCCCGGCCTCCAGGCTCGAGTGCACCATCAGTGTGATGCGCCGAAAGGGCCCTGAAGCAACCCGCACCCCGTGCAGCCAGCGACGCTGACCCAAAAAGCAAACGTGGTCACGGCACAACCTGCTTAATTCCCCCTCCCCCCCAAAAAAAGGCATTGATTGATGCTTCCAAAAGGGTGTGTACTTAAATATACGCGTATGCATTTCTACGTCCCCGCCCCCTCTCTCTCTCGCGCTCCCAGCTTGGGCACACTTTTAGGGGTGCAGCACTTGGGGAGAAGCCACGCATGGATGGCTGGCAGGGTACCTCAGCTCTGTTGTCCCGAACTGTCAGCTCACATTTAAGAAACTGCATCAACATTAACCCGGGTGATGACAAAACCACGCCAACGTGCGGACGTATAGGGACCCCAGGCTTCGCCTGGTGGTCCACGCGAGCAGGGTGAGCTCCCTCTCCCTATGAGTGCTTTGAAAATGCCATCCAACGTGCCCCTCACTTTAGGAAACGCCCTGCTCAAATTCAAACTCCTTCCGTCAAAGTAGCCAGAAGGATTTGGCAGGTGCTGCTTCGTCCAGTTTAGCTTGCGTCTAATAAACTCATGCTGCTGAAGCACAGGAAGGGTGTCAAACTGAAGCAAACTGATGCATGCCTCCATTCTCGTGCCAAACGCCTCATGCACGTTGCTTCAACCGTGAAAACCGCCCCTCTCATGGACTGTCATCATGCTGGCCCCAAGTTCTCCAAAGTACATGGAAGCTATGTATCGCCACACGCATCTTATATTGATATAGGTATCCCTCACATATATACATATATGTACATATGTGCATGTAGCCCATAGAGGCCTTTTTCCAGCAAATCGGGGCCTTGCTCGTGCTTTCGCCTCAGGCCTTCATGCACCAGGTCATTGCGCTTGGCAGCCTCCTGACTGAAAGCTTCTCGGGAGCCTTCTGGAAAATACCTCCTGGGTGGGTGTTTGTGTGTACCTTCTTTGACACCATACCCTTAAAAACAAGGCGCCAGGGGTGCTTCCTGCATCTGGGGGGCGGGTGTGTGTCTCTGTGTTTCTCTGTGTGTCTCTGTGTGTCTGTGTGTCTGTGTGTCTGTGTGTCTGTGTGTCTGTGTGTGTGTTGGTGTTCGGGGGGGGGACATGTTGGTGTCCAAAGGAAAAGGAAGGGACACACACACACACAAGCAAACAAATGAAGAAACAAACAAACGAACGAACACACAAGCAAGCCAACAAACAAGCGAACAAATAAGCAATCAGCCAAACAAACAGACATAACAATCAAACAACAGAAAATGACACAAAACAACACGATCAAGCAAGAGACCGAGCGAGCAAGCAAGCAAGCAAGCAAGCAAGGAAGCAAGCAAGGAAGCAAGCCAGCCAGCCAGCCAGCAAGCAAGCAAGGAAGCAACCAAGCAAAGCAAAGCAAAGCAAGCAAAGCAAAGCAAAGCAAGCAAAGCAATGCAAATAAGCAAGCAATCAAGCAAGGCAAGCTATCAAGCAAGGCAAGCAAAGCAAGCAAGCAAAGCAAAGCAAGCAAGCAAGCAAGCAAGCAAGCAAGCAAGCAAGCAAGCAAGCAAGCAAGCAAGCAAGCAAGCAAGCAAGCAAGCAAGCAAGCAAGCAAGCAAGCAAGCAAGCAAACACAGCAACACAGCTCCATGCAGCCTTGTGCCCTGTGTTACTCCAGTCGCAAAAACACCTCCAATTGCAGACTCTGGTGCCCTGCCGCCCCCGAACTTTCTCCCTCATCTGGGTCCATTGAGGTGACGTTACCCGGTGGTTGAAAGGGTTTCCCCTATTTTGATAACCTTTCGAAATGTAACTTTTCTCGGAGCCCGGATTTCGCACCCCCTTGGGGTAACACAGGGGCCCAGTCATTTTCGTGCCGTGGTTTTGCAGGGTAGTCTTTTCAGGTTGGTTGTTAGGCCTTTTGGAGGGTAGCCTTTGGAGGTTGGTTAGGTCCTCCAGTAGAGAGGTTAGAACAAGGGTACCCTTTTTCCGTAGTCTATTTTAGTAATTAGGGGAACCCTCCCAACCAAAGAAGGGGTGAGAAACGGCACTAGCTGGGGGACCTAGTTGGTTCTTCTTGGTACACCAAAAGGCACACCTTTTCGCATTCCGCCTCTCCTGGCCCAGGATGAGCGTGAGACCCTCGTCCTCGCGGAAGAGCATCCAGGGATCCAGGTCCGCGGCCTGCCTAAAGGTGAAACCGATGAAAGCTATGCACCACGTAGCCTCCCCCAAACATGGAAGCTCCCAGGAGGCCTTTTGGAAGACCTGGTTCCATTTACAGAGGCCTTCTGGGAGCTTCCGTGGTAGTCTGAGGGAGTGTAGAACCATGCAAAACCAAGGGGAATCTGTCGGTTTTCAACATAGATGGGTGTTCATTGGTAAATCGTGCTTATTCGTGCTTACGCAAACTAACTAGAACCAAAGGGGAATTCCATCCTTGCTAAAGGATACGGGCTGAGCGCTTTAGACGATAAGGGCTCTAAGATGTCCTATAGAGAAGGAGGGGTATCCAGATTGTCCTTTCAACATCACCCGCGAAGAACTTGTCCAAAAACCTCAAAAAGTTTCATGCTCAAGACTCAAAACCAACCAACACAAAGAGTAGGGTTTTTTTTGTTGGGCTGGGTCATCCAAATCGTAGATGGTTTGCAATGATGGAGGAAACCAAGGACCCAACTCCCGCCCCGCACGAAAGTTCTGAAAGGCCTGATTGAACCTTTCTCAGGCTGGGAGTCTGATTTTGGCTCTCCCGAGAATTGGCCTCTCCAGGTTAGCTGACGGTGCTTTCAACAGGTGCTTTTGTGTATTACACCGCTGGGATGACTTGCCGATGGGACATGACGGAACACGGCAAGCAAACTGGGCATTGGAGAAAAATGCAATTCTTCAGTGGGTGAGGGGTGATGTCACTGCGTATTCCGTGGGCAGAAACAATGCATGTAATCCTGTTGATGATGCACAACAAACAAGTGTTCCCGCACTCCAACTTATGCTACAAATAGCCTCAAGCTCGTGCATATTGACTCCGTGCAAGGCAACACCCCCAAACAATTAGTTAGCTCCAGGACAATCACAAAACAAAGGCCTTCTGCATGCTTCTGGCTACCACGAAACCGCTTTGGCTGGCTCACGCCTCTGATTCCTTGGCCAAGCTTGTCCTTCAAAACTATCAACATATTGTACTTGTTCGGGAGGGACCAAGCCAGCACCACAGCTGTACCTTTCGGATTGGCCGACAAACTAGCATGGACTAACTAGCATGCAGCCACTCTCTATCTCTCTGCGCCAGCCTACGTCCGACACAGAACAACAGCAGTCGGAAAACACTCACAATACCCTGTGGTTCGACCACATCGGTGTGCGCCTCATCGACATGCTCTTTGTTGTGGCAAAGACCACCTCGGCTATGGCGATGGAATGTTCGTCCGGCTTTGTCCGTTGCTAGTATATCACTCAATCACGCAGTCTCGATGCAAGCTTTGCACTTTAAAAACAAGGTGCTTGGTATACCTGACAAAGCACCAGCTAAACGACATAGAATCTCAAGGGATAAACAACAAAAGAAAGACCACGGGCGACAGTCGATCGGCCGACATCTGTGGGCTTATTTTTCGCTTGCGCTCGAGCGGGTACTAGCCGAATGGGTCTTTGATCTAAGAAACAAAACAAGGCAAAGACTTCACGTCTGAAATGAACCGCTGGGCCACAAGAGCTTTGGCGAGTGGCTCCAAAACATCTGGACAGATTGCTGTATAGAATGCACCAACTGACAAAGAACCCCCGAATAGCTCCTTTATCACGGGTGAAATCGATGGTGTTTCCTTGCCCAAATGGTTTTTGTCTCCAAAGCGCGCGTTGGGCGTCTCTCACTGCACTTTGCGCCGGCAACACTTCCGCAAGGTAAACCTCAGCCGCGCTGAAGCCACCGCGGGCTGCGTCCAGGAGCCCTTGGCCAGTGGCGTCAGTGGTCAAAACTCCTTATGTGGCCAGAGCCACGGCTCCCTAAGTAGGAGCCCTTACTATGGTTGTCTAAATTGATCTTTGTCTAGGTCCTCCAGTAGAGAGGTTAGAATAAGGGTACCCTTTTTTCTGTAGTCTATTTTAGTAGGGGAGCCCTCCCCAAAAAAGTGTAAGAGGGCACTACTGGGGGCACCTAGTTGTCAACCCCAGCTAAAGGGTCTTTTGACCGTGGCACATAGTGTGTGCCTGCCCACACATGAAACTTGCCAGAAGGTGCCCTGGTGTGGTGAATGCAAACGGAACCAAGAACATGTTTGCACGAACGCAAGCAACAGATTGCGCTAGGTGACATCCTACTTCCTCTGCATGATTGTCTGCTAGTTTGAAGTCACTCATTGGATTGTACAAACTCGTGTAATTGATGACATCTGACTGTTCGTCAAGTATGATTGCTGTCTGTTGACCACATTCGCAACTCGTTTGTGCGTGTGCTTCGTCACCAAGCCATCTGTCGATTGTACCGTGCTGCAGTACATTACAAGTAAAGACGCAACACCGTCCATGCGCATGGCATGAGCGGTATAGGGAGGCGATTTACCAGAAGCAAAGGTTCCACCTAAAGGTTGCCATCGATGCTATTCCAAACCCTTTGACAAACCTGGTACGCGGAACTACCACGTCAAACATTGATGATATATGATGATATATGATGATATATGATGATATATGATGATATATGATGATATAGTGGGGAGTCAGAAAAATGCGACTCTTCCAGATTGAAGCAACACTTTCTCTTTTTTAGGCATAAACGGCCCGGCAAGAGAAGGCTCCTCCCTGCAGATTTACATGCAACCCCATAAAGGGTTGCCCAAAAAGAGGCTCCTTGGCAAATGACAGACACCTCAAAGTCCAGAATCTGGGGATCAGGATTGGGCCAAACATCTGTTTTAACATGTTGTATTCCCGTTAACAAGGGTCCATTCAGCGACTGGCTGCTTGAACCAACGGTCAACGGCAAACAACATCCTGCTATTTCAACTCCAGGCCTGGCAAGCTTTCTCCTCTTCGGTCAGCAGCCTGCGAAAGCAGAAGAGGAAGGAGAACAGCTCTTCTCATGGCCACCCCGACCCACCTCAACAAGTTGGAACACTGGCCCGAACTCCATGGCACTATGGCCCTATTGCACCCGCTTCAAGGGATTCCTGCTTAGGTCAAGTCTCACTCGAGGTCCACTAAAGCCCCCTCTTTGCAAGGAATGTACCCCAAACGCTGGACTGGCGTAACGCGTGCAGTGCGCGCTGTCCAAAGGCCTTGCAAGCATGACTCTGGTGCTACAAAAAGTCGGTCAATACTAAGGGTTCCCTGCTTTCACACACGCATTCTGCTGCATATGTTTTCAGAATTTGTACTTGGTGGCATGGAGGCTGACTGAGACGCCTTTTCTCAGAATCCAAGCATTATGTGACTGTTCTTGTCCCAAGTTGTTCCTATCGTCCCACAGTATGCACGACCCGACCTTTGAAGAGCTGCCTAGTCAATCACAAGATTCTTCAAGAATGAACACGATAATTACGCTAGTTGCTATTACCTCCCTGAGGAAGAACTTCAATTGTCTTGAGAGCACAAGCTTCCACCTGAACGCATTCAATTCCGCTCCCGATGAATGTGGCTCCATCAGCCCATTTTCCACACATCGACAATTGGGATCCGCCATGTCCAACGTTAACAATATTGCTATACAGGTGTTAACATAGTACTCAGAGGCCGCGTTTGAATTCACGCATTTCCTACATGGAAATCCTTGATAGACGTCAGGATTGCGAGTTGATTTGTTCTTTTGCTGGATTGATTTGGAATCAACGACCCAGGTTCAAGAGGTTCCCTGCAGGTGGGTTCTGGGAAAAGCAAAACAAGGCTCGGTGAAGAAGGACCGGTTTTCCAACCCCGAACCAGTTGGTTTACCTCTGTTCTTCTGTTGCTCCCGAAGCAGTTTGTTTGTCCAACTCTAGCCTTGCTGCTCAGCAGGGAATGAGGGAATGACCCCTATAAACCATCCAACTGATGGTTTCCTTGGAGGGGACTGGCTTCATGCACCACACCCGGAACGGTCATTCCCTACCTATCGCACCAGCAAGTAACCTGGTGTGTACCACAGGGTCTGCAGGCTCAGTGGCTTGACGCCAAGCCGCTTGCTGCGCCAAACCTCCTTGGCCTTTTCCCGGTCCTCGGTGCGACCGACGTTCCCTGTGGAACATTAAACCACGGAAACCTCAATCTCGATCCTTTCCGAACTTGATGTTTGAACCACTAAAAAAGGGAAACTGAAATGCCTCTGGGGCAACCTGCCTCAATCACTTCAATCGCATTTCGAACTTCTGCTACCCACACGCTTCGAAGGGAGCCTGGAAGATTTGGGAAACACCCCGATCATGGAACTCTGCAAGTAGGTGTCTTCCATCTTCTTCGCCAGAGTAAAACTCCTTCTGGGTAGATTGCAATCACTCACCCAAAGGATCCTAGTGCAACGTATGTGTCAAAACTAGGGATCCAAACTGGGCAACATGAAGGGGGGCTTCAACAAACCGGTTGCAGGGGGACCCTAGTCCTAGCACATAATCTGCATAAGGGGGTGACAATAATCCGTATTTTGGGCCCCAGTGCCCTTTTGCGCATAGTGGATCATGGCCCCCGTCTCCCTGGAACTCCGAAGTGGGTCATCTCTATCATTTCACAGGGGCCCCCTTGGCCTCTCACAGAAAGTGGCAGCCTACAAACAATTCTGCACAATCATGAGTTTTGAGGGATTCTTGATTCTCCCCAACAAGGTCAACAGATACCCTGAGGAACATGGAAGTAAGCAAGTAGTCTTCGAAACAGGTCTGTGCATTTCTATGTTTGTTGCTGGGAGGGTAAGCCCTGATGCTTCCATTGGCTCGTGGACAGTTGACCACAGGAAGTCCCCGGCGCCGAGGCACGGCTTTCTGAAGCTCTGCCGCCTCCTTAAGCGCCAGCCTCACCTGCTTGTCCCCTGGGATCAACGCATCGGCCTGGCGCAAAATGAGTCGCTGCGCAATGGAAAAAAGGGCGAAGATCTCGGCAGCTTTCTCTGGTTGGGCCCTACAAACCTTCATCTGAGGTTCTGATGGCTAGCATGTTGTTGGTGGTTGGGCCCCACAAACCTTCATCTGAGGTTCTGATGGCTCGCATGTTGACAGGTTGCTTCAAACTGGTCGGCCTTTCTCGAGCAATTCGGGAGTCTCCCGTGTTCCCTGCAGGCTTGGAACCAAAGCAAACTAATAATCACTCGGGTGTCGGTGTCCTAAATCTTAAGGACCTCCGGGATAAGACAAAGGACACCAACTATCTACAGGATCGTCTTTGGGAAACAGAAACGCTGTTATATTATAACCTCTCAACACATTCTGGAAGCCAACAAAGGCGCTCAGTAACTGTGATACCGGCTCTTTCCTCGACCCCTACCAATTACCGATTGAAACTGTTGAACAATATAGAATCCCGGCCAAGCAAGTGCTATTGCAGGTCCAAAGCCATGCAGAACACCAAAAGGATTCTTCACAGGCAACAACAAGTCAAGGTAACCGCAATTTAGGTAGGCCGGGTTTTCTCAAATACAAGGTAGCCCCTGGCATCGGGTGCAAGTTGCAACCCCGAACAACGGGGAAGCAAAGAACCAAACATCGAAAACCCCAAACAATGCTGCCTGCTTGAACGAGGCATAGGCGTCCTCTGCAAAGCCTCGCTGGAGATTCGCGAAGCCTCACTCGATGGCCAACGGAGGTGCATCACCCGTTGAGAGGCAGGCATGAAGGTCACCCCCATGGTGTTGGTTGAGGCCAAGAGGGTTGCCGTCTGTGCCGTTCTCTCTTTGACATGTTTGGTGGGGGCAAAAGGCACATCTTAGGGCAGGTGCGCACGTCTACTCACTCGTCCGACACCACAAAGACAGCGGCTTGAATGACGACACGTACCAACAAACATAGTCAGATTTCCACAACAACCATCAAACAAAGGAGAAACCAACAACGCCGTGTGCTCGAGGGAGCAAAGATCCATGACCGGTTAATGACCCAAATGATCCCAAATGTGGGCACCGAACATTGTGGGCTCGCTCGCTCGCGCTTATTTGAACCCCGCCGCCTTGTCGCTGTCCTGAATCTGACCATTTCCCGCTAACATAATTGTGTTGCCCTCGCCCATGCGATCTCTGAGCCCGCGCCTTTCCGGTAGAGGAACTTGCCCTTGGCCTCACGGCGTCAGGGTTGGGCCAACCTCTTTTGAGCTTCCTGCAGCCGCCAAGAACAAAGAGTCTGACGGGAAAACTGGTCAGTGCCTAGGTTTGGGAATTTCGGTGAGTACCTTATCCACAGCCCTCCCAAATTGATCAACTTCACTACATGATGCCTGAACCAAGCCTCGTATGGCTGTGCTAAAAACAAGTGTGATACCAACTGGGATTCTCAGCCACATGATGAGCTTGTAAGGTTATCACTTAACAGCATTGTCCCTTGGCACCCTTCGTGTCAAAGAACCTGGCCCTTAAACACATTTTTCCGACCATGTCTTTTGCCCCGCTGTTCGATTTGTCTAGCGGTTTCCCTGAAGCGACCCTTTGCTCTGGGTCTCTTAAGTCTAACTTACAGTCCATCCTTGACATCAAATTAAATGGTGGCTGGAGGAAAACAAGCCCCAAAAGTCATTTGGAGAGCCCCTAGACAAGGAACGACTTTCACGGACACGTTTGGTTCCATGTTTCAACTTACCGCCGGGTTACCCAAAAACGGATGCGTTTGGGTCCGTACGCCCAGTTTCGCCCATTCGGATCGCCTCGTTGTCGGTGAGCTCCGCCTTCTCCAGGTGCCGCAGCCCGATGTCCGCGGCCTTCTTGGTGTTGACCCAGTCCTTGGCCTTGAGATAGGCCCCGCAGATGTTGCTCACGGCTTTCAGCTTCCTGGCAAAGCCGCGCTCGCCACGTGGCTCGCGGTTCAAAAAGATGTACCCAACATGGTTCCTAGGTGGAAACAAAGACCAAACCCTGCGTAGCCCTAGCTCTTAAATTTTGAGCCACACCCAAATGGGTCACAGTGTGGTTTTCATGACCGAGGAAACCGAGGGGAGGAGAACCACCATTCTGGCGGTGTTTTCCCCCTCAAGGTGGCCCAAAGAAGGACATCCTACCAGCCGCAAAACCGGCGCGACGGGGGGAAATGGTGGACACAAACTAAAGCCACCCGGCCAGATTTAGTTCTTTGCAACATACCCAAGTTTGGATCCGTCGGAAACGCGGATGCGAGGTCCTGGTGTTGAGGTCCATCTGATGTTTCTCCATCAAGTTCCACTGCTGCCCGATGTCGAAGTCCAGGTGCCAAATGGCGCCATAGTACCTGGGTCGACCCAACGCTCACAGAAGGCTCGCATGCTTGCCCAGCGGATATCCGCCGACAACAGGCGGCGTGTTGGACATAAGAAATGCTCCTTACCTCTTTACCTGTTACCCCTCCCCTAACCCCCAGGGGCGGCATTTCACACTATTGCGGGGGGGGGGGGGGGTCCACGTACCACGCGGTGATTCGAAGACGCTTCACTAAATCTGTTCATTGTGCGGGCTTGCGCAACTCAGTTTGTCAAAAACATTGGGGTGTTCGATTTTTTCGGGTGCGCTTTCGCATCCTTAGCAGCTCCAGCGGCACATCGCCAGCATCACCTGCATCATCCGCATCAGCGCCTGCCAAGGATGCGGATGATGCAAGTGATGCTGGGGATGTTGCCTATGCTGGTGAACCCCCCCCAAAAAAATGGTAAAAGTAGGGGGCCTGGGGGGTGGCCTGTTGATGGTTGCCTGTTCTGGTTTTTATGTTAATCTCAAATCTGTGTTCCCCCTTATTCGTTTTTTAAAGAGGGTTTTTAGGGAGCTTATTTATCGTTTTCGTTAAGGTAATCATTTGGGTAAATTGTCGCCTTGTTCATTGTTGGGCTGGGGGCCGACATTTTTTTCATTTGAAAGAGTTGACCCTTTTAGTAGTTATCAAGTTCTGGGGTGTTGGTGGTGTATTTGTTTTGTCCTTGTTAATCGTCAGGAAACCCAGCCAGATAGCCTGATGTGTGTCATTTGTTGAGATGTTGTGACGAGGTGTTGGAGAAGTCATTGGATGTGTTCTTGAAGCAGACTTTGGAGAGCAAGAGTTGCAAAGACTTCTATTCATTACCGTGCATGTGTTTCTCAAGCCAGACCTGATATTTCGCTGTTCATTAGTGTTCGCTTCACTCCATTTTCATTATGTCGGGTGGCTACATCAATAAGACGGACCTTGACCAGCCAGTGGTTTCTGATGAAGCCATCGCTCAGACGGTCCTTGACCAGCCAGTGGTTTCTGATGAAGCCATTGCTCAGGCACTTCAGGAGGAGGAGGAGGAGGAGAATGAAATCACAACTGAGGGTGAGACCGAGGAAGGAGAGGAGGAGGAAGTGAAGATGGAAGATGATGTGCTTCTCTTTTTGGATGAAGAGTCATGGAAGAAGTTGGAGAAGAAGCACGGCACCGTTTCGTCTGAATTCAAGAAGAAGTTGATGGACTACAGCAACCCCGATGACATCCAGAAGGTCATCAGCGAGTTGGATGCGATTGTCAAGACCGAGAAGGTCAAGTTAGCCTTGGCAAAGTCTGCGAAGGGCAAACTGGTCAAGATGTATAATGACCAGCAGAAGGAGAAGGAGGATGGCAAGAAGGGTGAGTCCAAGGCATCGCTCAAACGCCGGTCCAACTTCAACGCACAAGTCCATCTCAACGGCCAGGTCTATATGGTCGAAGTTGCTGGCAAGACAACGTTCAAGGGTCTGCGTGAACTGCTCAGATACAAGTATCCAGCAGTCTTTGGTTCTGACAAGTCCATCAAGGAGAAGATGGTCTTTCGTGTCCGCGGATTTGGGGACACTATGAACAAGAAGAACCGCAATGAGATGAGTAAGGGTTGGGGCATCACCAGCGGCACGCCCCTTGACATTGACATCACGTTGTCATCTTCTTCGGCGTCCTCTTCCACAGGTCCATCTCAGGCGGCATCCTCTTCCACAGGTCCATCTCAGGCGGCATCCTCTTCCACAGGTCGTCCATCTCAGGCGGCAACTACTCCCAAGCCCAAGGCGAAGAGAGCTTCCAAGTCCAAGAAGGACAAGAAGGACAAGATTGAGAATTCTGACGTAGGTTCCGAACAGCAGCAGGTCTCTAGGAGCCGAGTTATTTCAGCATCAATGTTGTGTAGTCCTCACGGTCATATTTCTCTGAATATACGTGTTCTTGTAAAACAATTGACACAGCCGTGTTTCATCAGAGTTCGTGAGGGAGACACAGCCCAGAGATGTGAAGGACATGTTTCTTGTCCAAAGACTTGAGAGACCAATTCCCGCAGTCGTCAAAAATCCAGTTTCTTGAGCAGTTGGAGTGTCCACTTGTGAGAGGAAGCATTGCTCCAGTCGTTGACCAAGATTATGCACATTCAAGTCATAACAACAACTTCATTTCTTTTGCGATGTTAGGTTCAAATTCGTAGTCAGCTTCACGTTCGGTTTATCGGTGATGGCTCTCATATGGTTGGAGATAGAAGAGAAGAGGTTTGAAGCCTTTTTCTTTCGCTCTGTCGACGAGTATGTCAAGGACATCTCACATCCATGGTCGCCCAACATGCCTGACCTGATGACACTGCCGTCTGTTCAACTTCAGCTGTTGATGAAGGACAGTGAGACACGTGTTCCATCCAACTCAAACAAGACCAGAATTGCCAGTGCCATCATTGAGGACTGGGGCAACATCTGTGCCCGTCGTCAGGAGAAGTTTGTGAGATTGACTGAAACACGTCAAACAACTTCCGGTGGATATGCTGGAGACCATGATGCTGGAGACCGTGATGGTGGTGACCGTGATGGTGGAGACCGTGATGATGAAGATGAAGGACAAAATGTTGGAGGTGGCGGGTTCTACCCCCCATTGCTTGAGGACGGGAAAATAACTGTCAACGGCATCCTTCCAAATCGAAGGCTCATCACAGTGAAGGCAAAACCCACTGACACCATCACAGTCATCAAGGTGCTCTTTCAGGTGAAGTGCAACATTGCTCGTTCAGACCAGCGTTTGTTCCTTGATGGGTATGAGTTGGAGGAAGACGCACGTCTAGGTGAGATTGTTGAAGATGACGAGATGACAGTGGACATTAGGACAACCATCTCAGGCGGTGGCAAACGTGGAGCAGGTCAAGTTGCTTCGTCTACCAACCCAGCATCAGGGGCGAAGTCCAAGCAGGAGGCGATGGACATGATTGAGGAGAAGGTTGGCATGTGCGTGTTGAGGTTCAACAGTGTCGCTGGTGCGTCGCCATCTATCACGACTTGTTCCAACCGCATCACTCAATTGATGAATATGGCAAAACAGGAGAACTTTGACATGAAGGCAATGTTGATGACTTTGAGTGAGACAAACATCAACAAGATGATGAACGTTACGACAGCTTCTACCAGACCGGAAGCCAGATGTAAAATCATCTCCGACATCATCTTCGCTGATTTGACCACCCAGTTGAACGAGCTGAAGCGTCAGTATGAGCTGGCAATGGTTGCCCTTCCCACAGCAACTCAATTCATGATGACCTCCAAGTTTTCAGATGAAACAGGTGGCATCGCCTGGACAGAGTTCATGAAGCTTCTTGGCACTATTGTCAAGGAACAGGCAATAGAACAGAATGTTCCATCAGTCAACGGACTTGGTGGATGAATAGATGATTTGCTCCTTGCCGAAGCGACTCGAAAAAGGACGTCTCAACCGTCTTCAGCATTTCCATTTGGCAGACATGTGTAAGGCGTAGCTCTGAAAGAGAGCACTTCACAATGATGAAACCAAAACACCGTTTTTCCTTGTTTCTAGTGGTGTTTCAGCAGTGTGAAACGTGCATTTCGCAACAGTGAAATAGAGGATTGGAAATAGTCATTTCACAATACTGTAGTAGGGTATTTCCTTTCCTAATACTAAGCTGTCGGATTTTAAGCTTCTTACATAGGACTGACCTCGTATCCGTAATTCGGTCTGCCACTCTGTTTGTGGCATCCTATCCGGTTAGTGATGAGGTGGGAGCGAACGGGGATTCGCTTAAGCAAACCACCCATTACTAACGAAAAGGAAGGGTTGGATACGAGGTCAGGAGTTGCTTCTTTTTGACAAGAGCTGACGCCTCCGCCGACCGCCACAACAACAACAACCCCAACCCCCACGTGTGAGTCCTGCTTGTCAGAAGGCACCTCCCTCGACGACAACAAGGTATCGGGCGGGTGACGGGTGGGTCGGGCGCTTTGTCTTACAACCCTAAACCGTTGTGTAAGGTTAAACTCTCGCCGATTTTTTTGTTTCAATGTTTTAGACCAACCCCAATTTCAAGGGAGCTCTTCGCAAACCCTTAAATCCCAACAATCCCAAACCACCAAAATAAGGGCATAATCCCCCATTTTCAACTCCCCCAAAACCAACAAATACATAAACTTTAATGTTTTCAGTTTCAACCTCATCCCCAAACCCACATTTCCAGTTTCAAACCCAATCCCAAACCCGACCAACTGAGCCTGTGCCTGAAAATAATTCTAATAATTTCATATTATTAGAACTATTTAGATAATTATTTTATGGAGTAATGTCGCGAAGCTCATTAGGCTATTACTTTGTAATAGCGTAATGTCCATATGGTAATGAAGTGAAAGCATCAATATAAAACCTTTTATTTTCATAATTACTGAGAGATTGCTTTACTTGAGACATTGAATATATTTGATGCGACTTACTCCTAATAAAATTATATGTGATTTCATGCTTTTTGTTTTGAAATAATGCTTCGTGGTAGTTCTGATACGACAGTTCTTTTTTCACTTTGTGTTTCACTACACCTTTTGATTTCTTATGTTCATCATCCTCACCATGAATTGTGAAGGCATATGATTTAGGTTTTAAACCAATGAATTTTGTAATGATTTTTCCATTCACTTCGTCCTTAAACATTCCTAAGACCTTTTTATTAGTTTTGTCATGACATGGATGCTCAACAGGATAGTCGCTAAAATCCATGTGTTGCTTTATATCATTGAAATCCTTATAGACATCATCAGTGATTGTTTGAATTACATAACTGTCAGTATCAGTATAAACCAGTTTTATGTTTTCATTGTATTTTTTCTTAAGGACATCATAGTAAAACTGATACATATGTAATTTGCTTAAATCTAAAATGCTCATTCCTAAGAAAATCGGTTTATCCAATTTCAGTTTTGCTTTAGTTTTCTCAACTCCGACGAGATTTTCATTAATAATAAATCTATTTTTGAAAGTTGGATTATTAACGCATTTTTCATATC